TCATCATCTCCATGTCCCTAGGTCATCATCTCCTTGTCCCTAGGTCAACCTCTCCATATCCTAGGTCATCATCTCCATGTCCCTAGGTCAACCTCTCCATGTCCTTAGGTCAGCCACACTTGTCTCAAGGGCCAGGGTCAGTCATCTTCATTTTAAATAAGACTGTCTATGCAATTTATAAACCCCAGAGCAATATGAAAATACAAAACCATTGCTTAAGAATTATTAAGTATTTCATGACAGTGACAGAAGATCATGACCCTAGAAGCTGCACCGTGTCTACTCAAAGAAGCCAGCCTGGCTTGGAAGAACTAGAGAGATGGACGTGAGTGGAATTCAGGGAAAAGGTGGAATTCTAAAGGGCAGTTTAGAGAGTTGTTACCCAGAGACAAAAGAGGTACTACACCTTAATGTTTCCCCCTGGACTCACGAGATTGCTTTGACACCATTACCCCTCTCGAGCCACTCAGGAGCCCAGCTACCTCATGCCTGACCTTAGTAGTCCTTTAGCTCCTTCTGTGACGTTGGGCTTGCCCTCCCAAGTCTCTTAAGACGTTTAGGAATTCCACGAATTCCAGATGTGCTTTGATTGTAGCATTGTGGTGGTCTCTGTCAATGTTCACATCTTGATAGACCAAGACAGAGAAGGAAGAGGCACAACAGGCTGGTCTTTGGAAAAGTTAAGTATTGACTCTATTTTGGCATTAGCTATCTGATCCAATTTTTATTTTATTTTTTGAATGTTTGTCTTTCTCAAACATGAGGTCATTTAAAAAAATACTCAGAAGCTATTATGAACTTTGTATCTGTACAGGCGAATTTTTGGCTAGCAACTATGTTGTCTGTGGGGAATAAACTGCATTTCACAGTGCATCCAGGAAATACTGAGCATATTGAGAAATCACTTTGGCAGAGTGTGAACTCATTTTCTCACACATCTCTCTAATCTCCTTTGATGTTCTTCAGAACACCAATAACATTATCTCATTAATCTCCAAGTATAAATTGGTAGGCACATCTTCTGATATCATAAATATAAGGGATTATTAAAGTAAAAGTGAATGTATTCTAAACGAGGCAGCTCCAAATTGCTGGCTTTTCAGATCAACGAAATTTTCACTTTCTTCAGGCCAAAACTAAACTAAACTAAAATATATGGAATTTGAAACATTAACAAAATTAGGAAGAGAACTAGTACTCCAAGGAGCTTAGGATAACAAGGGTTGAAATCAAGTCCTGGCTCATCCACATTTTAGTCAGGTGACCTTGGGCAGGCCATTCACCTTCTCTAGGCCTTACAACAGCTACTCCGATGAGGAGGCATTTGAACTTTCAGCTCGAAGCTTTTGAGGATGAGAAAAAAAGGGAGAAGAGCTGAGAGCCAAGGAGGAACTTGGGAAAAAGAAATCCTGGAAGAGCAAATACTTCTGGAAGTGTGTGCATGTGTGTGTGTGCCTATGTGCGTGAGAGAGCGCATGTGTACCTGTGAGTGGGTGTGTACTTGTGTGTTTACTTGTGCGTTTCCCTGTTTGTGTGTGTGTGTGTGTGTGTGTGTGTGTGTGTGTGTAGGTGGTACTCACTGTGGAGCAACACTAACCATCCACCTGCTTGATGCCCTTGTTTTGGGAAAATCAGCCAGCTTATCTATTGCTGGTAGAGAAGGCTGGGGGGTCTCAGGTGCAGAGAAACCAATTAGAGACTTCATGTTTTGAGAAGAAACAATTCAGAGTAAGGAATTGGGAGATTACATACGAGTGTGAGTATTTTATGTATATTTATATATGTATATAATTTTTTGGAGACAGGGTCTCACTGTGTAGCTCTGGCTATACTGGAACTCACTTTGTCAACCAGGCTGGCCTCAAACTCACAGAGATCTGCCTGCCTCTGCCTCCAGAGTGGTGGGATTAGAATAGTGTGTACAGAATAGAAGTATACACTCAAGAGGCAGGGTGAGGCCTCTCCAAGAGTCCTGCTTTATAGTCTTCTCTTGGGCATTGTACTAAATTTGGGGGATGAGGTATGATGGGCTGTTTTTGACTAGGAAGATTCCAAAAGGAGCACAATGTGACATTTGTCATACTGTGGTGCAAGTTAGAAGGTCAGACAAGGAGCCTGCAGTTGCGCTGACAACCCAAAACCCATTGTAGTGATGGAGACTGTTATCGCTACACTGTTTATTAAGTTTCTAGATGTTTTAACTCCTCTTCATTCTCTCTCTCTTTGTGTGTGTGTGTGTGTGTGTGTGTGTGTGTGTGTGTGTGTGTGTGTGACAGGGTTTCTCTGTTTAGCCCTGACTATCGTGGACTCACTTTTGTAGACCAGGCTGGCCTCGAACTCCCAGAGATCTGCCTGCCTCTGCCTTCTATGTGCTGGGATTAAAGGCATGTGCCACCATACCCGGCTTACCTCCTCTTGTTTGTGCCACACCTGCTACCTGTGGCCAATAAATTTGTCTCCTGTGAAGTCTCACAAGTGAGTTGAAATTGGGAACCACCACTTCTGTAGGCTCTTCCTGTTTAGACTTTATTTAATTTATTATTGTTGTTGGTTGGTTTTGTTTTTAGATAAGTTCTTTCCGTGTAGTCCTGCCTGTCCTGGAACTTAATATGTAGACCAGGCTAACTTCTAATTC